TGTGTCTGTGTGAGTGTGAGTGTGAGTGTGTGTGTGTGTGTGTGTGTGTGTGTGTGTGTGTGAGTGGAGTGTGGTGTGGTGTGATGTGGTGTGTGTCTGTGTGTGAGTGTGTCTGTGTGTCTGTGTGAGTGTGTGTGTGTGGTGTGTGTCTGTGAGTGTGTGGTGTGGTGGTGTCTGTGTCTGTGTGAGTGTGAGTGTGAGTGTGAGTGTGAGTGTGAGTGTGAGTCTGTGTCTGTGTCTGTGTCTGTCTGTCTGTGTGTGTGTGTGTGTGTGTGTGTGTGTGTGGGTGTGTGTGTGTGTGTGTGTGTGTGTGTGTGGGTGTGTGTGTGTGTGTGTGTGTGTGTGTGTGAGTGAGTGTGTGTTAGTGATTGTAGTTTCTGTGTGTGTCCAGCAGGGGGAGCAGCCGGCGTCTGATAAACTCAAACCCTCGCTCAGCCGCCACCTGGACGAGCCTCTGTGTGAGACAGACACGCAGGTGAGAATCACACTGAAGTCTACACAAACACACAGCGCCACACACCACATGCATCTGGACTCTGGAGTCACACACGTTATTTTAGCATCATTTCATATACTATTATTATTTTTTGTTAATATTATAATTCGATTTTATTGTTGTATTTTCTGTTTTTACTTTAATTTTAGTGATTTTGTTGTTTTTTGTCATTTTTTGTATTATTTTATATGTCTGTGTTATTTTTATGAATTTATATTTATTAGTTTTAGTTTTAATTATTTTACTTTTAATTTTATTTACTTTAAGTTAAACTAAACGAAAATGAGAAATGTTTGCCTAGCTAAATTAATACGTTTAATACGTTTTTTTTTTATTAATGAAAATGTGTTTTTTAGTTTTAGTTAACTATAATTAACCTGCTTAATGCATTCATATATATATACATTTACATGCACTGTAAAAAATAAATAGTTGAGAAAATGTAAAACAAAATAAAAATAAGGCAACTTGATGCAGTAAGATTTTGAGTTCTGTCAACAATAGTATTCTAGTTCTTCTCAGTAAAGATACTTTGTTTAACCAATGTAAATGCATTTGTTCATGCAATGCTGAGGAGTTTTGCGCATCGTGTGTGTGTGTGCGTGAGAGAGAGAGAGATAGAGAGAGACAGGGTCACAGTAGAGTCAGCTGTCTTAACTGCAGCTTGTGTACTGCATCATTACTGTGTCTGTTCCCCTTTCGGGCTTGAACTGATGGTAAAACTAATGACATTATTTACTGTCTTTACATTTATTTTGAAAGATGAAGCTGGTGATTATGGTAAGGGGCGTTACATTTCCGACGAGTTCTTGCGGTGTTCGGCCAATCACAATGCACTGGGTCAGCTGGCCAATCAGAGCAGACTGCGCTTGTCGGAAGGAGGGGCTTTGTAGAAAACGAAGCGTTTGAGAGAGGCGGGGCATAGAGGACCTACAATAATGTACAGTATTTGAAAATAATGTGTTTTTTGAACATGAAAGCATGTCAACATATTCTGTTACACCAAATACACAAAATAATGATCTTTAAAAAAGCATCATATGACCCCTTTAATGGATAACTTAGCCTTATATGTAGACAATGCTGGCAATCAACAAATATTAAAAAGATGAGCTCTTTACATCACGGTACAACAAATAACTAACAATAATGACAAAACAACAACAAAAAAAGTTTAAATGAAGTCAGCAAACAGCAAAACAATAATCTTATAACAGTATCTGCATGATTTTATTCATACTGCAATGCATGCTGGGAACTCACAAAGCCTTAACATTTCAACAATATAAAGCTAAACATTTGGCAAAAAGCTGTGGATTACATTGAAAACACCAGCTGGTGCAAAGAGACTGAGAAAGTCATGTTTACATGCAGTCCAAATACGTCTGGCCTCAGTGTATATTACATTCATTTCCCCTGAGATTCTGCATGACTTGAATTCTTCGGGTTATTATGATATGTTTAATGCTCTTTTGTGTTGAATATGTGTATGTTTTGTAGGAACTGCATGATCAGGAGTTGTTCAGTGAAGTCGGACCCTCTATAACCGTGTCTGTGGCTGAAAAACCACGAACACCCCTAAAAACCAGCAAGAGTGAGCTTCAGTCCATGCCATCGACCAGGTAATATAATAAATGTAATATAAAATAATATATAATAAAATTAATTAATACTTATATTCAGCAAGAATCCATTAAAGTGATCAAAAGTGACACTTATGGCATTTATAATGTTACTAGGTTAGAAGCACAGTCAAATAATGCAGAGAAAACAAAGCCCAAGTTTGATGGTGTGTGTGTGTGTGTGTGTGTGTGTGTGTCTGTATGTATGTATGTGTGTGTGTGTGTGTGTGTGT